GAGGAATTTCTCCAGAAAGATGATTTTTAGATAGATCTAATGACTCGAGTTGTGTCAAATTGCCGAGCTGATGAGGAATTGGACCTGTCAAAGCATTTTCTGACAAGTTTAGCTGATATAAAGAAACAAGGTTTCCAATCACTGCAGGGATCTCTCCATCAAAATTATTGTTTGAGAAATCGATGGATTTGTAGGTATTCAGAATATTTTGCAAATTCATCGGTTGTCCTTTGATTGTGATTGTTATCATATCATAATAAATTTTTTTGCTGAACTGTAATTGGGAAAAGCCAACAGCTGGCTGCACTGAATCTTTGTTACTACTCATCATTGCCTTAAAATTGCCAAAACATTCTGCACACAAATTACCATTGAAGTTGTTAGATGAGATGTCAAAAATCTGTAGCTCTTGGAAGGTGAAATTTTTTCCATGAATATTTGTTGGAAGACTGACTGGTCCATAGAGTTTATTGGATCGTAGAATCAGGATAAGAAGTGAGGAAATATTTCCCAACCAATTAGGAAATGTCTCTGTCAATTCATTGTTCCCCAGATCTAGAACTTCAAGTGCATCACAATTGACAAGAGAACGAGGAAGACGACCCTCTAAGCGGTTGCCATTGAAATTTATAGTCCGGAAATTACAATTTTCTCTAATTTGTTGAGGGATAGATCCTTGAAGACGGTTCATTCTAAGATTTAGAGAATCCATTCCATTTCCCATAAGACATGGTGGAATTGCACCAGTTAAGCCATTGTTGGATAAGTCAAGAACATATAGATGAGTTGCATTGCAGAGTGAAGGGGGGATTTCTCCTGTGAGATTGTTTCTTGCAAGGGATAGAAACAAAGTGGAGTTCAAGTATAAGGAAAGGTTGTTAGGGATGGAAGATGAGAATTTGTTATATGAGTAATCAAGTGAAAAAGGATTAGGCGGGGGAAGAGGAATTGGTCCTTGAAGATTGTTTGAGTGGAGATCAAGCACCATAAAAACGCTGGAGAAATTTAAAGAAGGCCCTTCAACATAAGTGAACAAGTTGCAAGAGAGGTTCAAGTAGTTGAGGTTTCCATTTCCAACATTCGAAATCCAAATAGGTATATTACCAGTAATACTGTTGCGGGAGAGATCCAATGTGGTAATCTGATCTTGGAACATCAAGAAAAGTGGTATCTTGGTTAGATTGCATCCTACCAAATACAAGGTAGCTATCTTGGGAAACGAAGAAAAGGAAGATCTGTCATCTTCTTCAAGGCAAGACAATCCACTATCAGATAAATCAAGATATGACAGCTTCTTGAGAAGCAAGATGGAGTTCAGCTGGAAAAATCCATTGAAGTTATTATTAGCAAGTGAGAATTTTACAAGTTCGGACAGTCGAAAAAGTGACATTGGGATCTTTCCTTGGAGCTGATTATTGCTGAGATCAATATGTTTCAACAAAGAAGCCTCAGAAAACTCAGGTAGTTGGCCAGAGAGCTGGTTCTTCGGAAGCAGCAATGTCTGCAATTGAGGTAGATTAAATATAGTTTGAGGGATTGGACCGGAAAGTGAGTTACTATGCAAATTAAGTTCTGTAAGTTTTTGAAGACCTCTCACTTCATAATCTGTAGGAGATAAAGATGACTGAAAAGGAGGAATCAGACCTGAGAAATTATTGGAGAAGAGGTACAAATTCATCAGCTGAGTTAAGTTCCAAATTGAAGATGGTATTTTCCCGTAGAAATGACAGTGTGAAAGATCTAGTATTTTCAAAGACTTGAGATTGCCAATGGTATCAGGTAAAACCCAAGAAAAATTTGAGCGAGAAAGCATCAAACTTTCCAGAGCGCTGTCCATGGTGAAATCTGGGAGGGATCCGGAAAGCATTGGATTATTGGAGACATCAACAATTGTCAAATTCTTCAGCTGAAATATGTCTTTGGGGAAAAAACCTTCAAGCCCGCAGTACCCTAGCCAAAGCACAGATAACGAACTAAAATTAACGAAGAAATCTGGCACAGTGGTGTTCAAACTGTTCAGTTCAAGGTCAATAACGGACAAAGACCGGAGCTTGGATAAGGAAATTCCAATGTCGCCAGAGAGTGAACAATATGCCAAGCTTAACTCTTGAAGTTCGGGAGTCGATCTAGCCAAAGCTCCAGACCATTCCTCTCCACTTGCAGAGATGTTCATATTATCAAGATAAAGCACCCTCAGATTACTAAGCCCTTGGAGAAGCGCTCCGAAATCCGGGTCTCTGAGCTCGAGGAATGATTCTCCATACGAAGACAGATCCAAAGAAACCAAATTGTTGAGACGAGAGATGCCGATGGGTACTTGCCCCTGGAATCCCGAGTATGAAAGATTCAGATGTGTGAGATTCCCAAGCTTTTCCCATCCAGAACTTGGAATTGGATTCCCGTAAAATAGGTTGAAGGCAAGATTGAGAACACGTAAAGAGGAGA